CATTGTGTTGTATTTAATTGATAAAATAATAATTCATAAAAGTCAACTTTTTATGTGCATTTAGCTGTAAATTTGAATGTAGTTTCTCCCCATTTCATATGTAATAGCAAATTCTTTGATGTCGCCGCTATTTAAAACGATATGAGCATCGCTCTAATCTAAGCGCTGTAATTTTTTCATGGTTTTTCGTGAAAGCCGCGGCTTCTCGGGGAATTTAATCTGAAAGCAAATTTTGAGTCTGTCTACTAAATGTCTGAAGTTGGTGCTTTCAGTTCCAATACCCGGTTTAGTTTTACTTAGAAGCTTTTTTTTTGTTCTCTGTGCTGGTTATTCTTTATGTACCATCAACTAAATATGAAAAAAGAACGTTTTAAAGTCTTGTTTTCTTTCATGTTTTTTCCTGCTCCGAGCTCTCGCCAATAATGGGAAGGATTTTGATCCTAAAATGGGGGCTTTTCAAGCGAACTAGATTCCTTCGAAGCAACCTCAGAAGTTACCTTGTCTGATAATTACTTGAAAAGGTTTCAGCGACGTTCGAATTGGGAAACTACATCAAACTAATTTTTAATCAGTAAAGAAAGTTTGGTCTCCTTGTTTTGGATTTTGGCAAATAAAAAGAAGAAGGAATAAGATGCTCAGTTTTATTTTGTCTTTCATCATAGACCCGATGTACTAAAATTTAAACGCAACTTCATTGAAAAAAAATGTCAGAAAGAAGCGAAACACTGTACTAAGATTGAAAACAGGTGTTTCTTTCATTTTTTTTAAAAATCTGAAAATTTTGTCATGGCTTCTTTGTGCTGTGCATATTTTTATGCAATAGACCAATCAACGAAGTCGTGCAATTAACTTTAAAATTTTAAGTATACCGTACCTAACGGAGGCTGTCTTTCTAGTTAGAATTTTCATATAAATTATCTAGCCGAGTTTTCTCGTATTTTATGAGCAGAAAATATCTATTTGTTCTCGAGTTCAGTAAAAAACAATATCTGGAAAAAAGTAACCAGATATCAGTTCACTGCTCAACCGCAACGAGTTAAACATGCTTCGAGTATACACAATAACAGAGGAAGTACAATGCAAACTAACACTCGTTAGATCAAGTCGTATTCTACTAAAACTATTCATCATGTGAAAAGGCTGTAGCATAGTGGTTAGCACAAGAGCCTAGAAATATGAATGTCAGGTGTTCGAGCACAACTAGGAGCTTTTAATTTTTTTAAGCTAGAAATAGCCTAGATTTAGCTAATTTCTTATCAGAAATAAGATGAGAAATAAAAAATTTAAAGAAAATCCCTGCTTTATTTAAACATTTCAAAAATAATTTCTGACCATAAAATAGATATTGTGCAAAAATAGCCTAGATTTAGCTAATTTTTGACCAGAATCGAGATGAGAAAAAAGAATTTAGAGAAAATCCCTGCTTTTTTTGAAAATTTAAAAAAGTTTTCTTACCAGAAATTAGATAACGTATAAAGTATTTCAGTTCAGAAATAAAGAATTTTCTCGGCAGGGGATGAGATCATTAAATACATTATAAGTTTCATAATTTGAAAATACTGAATCATGAAGTTTAATTTTCAACTTGTTTTATTCATACTTTCTAAAATAATTTTAGTAAAGCCATTCTATTAAAAAATAGTAGAATTTTTCAAAATCTAATTGTTGTAATAATTTCATGTGAACAAAGGCAACCGCTAGTATATCCTGTTAAATTTTTTAACGAGATTTTTGTTTTTAAGATTTAATATTTTTTTAAATCCCTATATTTTTTGGAACATTATACTTGAAGTCTAAGCTCATCAAAAGTTTAGAGTGCTCAATTTGCGCTCCAGTTCATATTCCTATAAAGTTAACAATCTAACCAAAAATAAAAGCATAATTTAATTGGTACGGGACCCAAAATATTACGAACCCTTTTAGTTTTAAGAAAATCAAAAACTCAGAAGTTGAAAAATTTAGTTAGAATATCTTTTTTTTCGATTTGCTTCGATTTTGTTTGCAACGGAATTAATCTTGTTTTCAGAACATACGCAGATTTATTATGGCTTCCAAAACCAACATTAAATTGACTTGAAAATAATTTGAAAAGATTTGTAGGTAATACTTTTTTGCTGTAACAACCGAACAAAAAAGAACGTTTTCTCAATATGAAGGCAAAGTGAGAAAATCCTATTTTAAAACTGGATCACGACTGAACGAGTTTCCGATTCAATTTTGAAATACTCTCAGTTCTCCGGAATTTTTTGATGTAACGTCAGTTGCGCGGAAAACATCCCGTTCGTTCATTTTTGTTCGAGAGATGAGACTAAAATTTTTTTGAGTCAAATGATAACAAAAAAGGTTAAAACGTTGGCTTTTGTTAGTTTTTAATAAATTTTATAGGATTTTTTTTGAAAAACTTTATGCTTAAATCACCAAAGAAGCACTCACTTTGATTACGCTAATCAAAACCCCAAACCATAATTCGAGCTACAGTAGTCAGCACAATATTTCAACTGTGATCTTTATAATAAAAAGAGCTGCCGGTTGCTGTTGCAAGTTGCACAGTTTTGATCTTCAAAAATATAAAAAAATAACTAACTGTTTTTTTTCGTCGTCTTTCTGACCGGTGGGATGCGATGACCGGGGCAAAAAACTTAAACCACTAGCTACGTCAACTTTATCTTTATCGGCTGCATTTATCTCAAAAACAAAAAAAAAACCAAAAGCACAGTTTTTTAATTTTTGATTGTTTTCAAACAAAAGTTATTGTCAAAGAAGAGAGTTATAGGAAGCTTCAAAATATGTTTCTATTGTACAAAAAAAAAATTGAAAAAAAGTATGCCTGAAAACGAAATTTCTTCCGTTACAAAATTTACTCGTTTGTTTAACTTGGGCGAAACTAGGCTAAGAAGCAAAAAATTCAAACTGGTGTTTCTCGATAGTTAACGAGTTTTCGGAATACTTTCAACGGCTTTCGAATCTAGACTAAATAGCACTCAACAGGTTTTTAGTGAGTAATTATGCTATCAAGTCTTGTAAAGAAACAAAGTAAGTTGAAAAATGAACCAACCTTTCAATTTAAGCAATAGTCAAATTAGATCTGAAAGAAAAAAAAAGTTCTACCATTTTTTCATTGAAATTTATTCTTTTTTATTTTAGATGTGATCGATTCAAGACTGAAAGGGCTTAGGTAAAAAGTATTACCAAACCTACAGGTTGTTTTAGAAGCACGTTTTTTATGAATGCTCGATCATTTAAAAAAAACTTTGGTTATTGAAATTATTATTTCTGCAGAAGGCGCCAAATTTTTGCGGATTTTTGATGATACAATTTTTAGTAACTGAAATAATTTTTTCTCAAGCCTGTTTATGTGTTTATGTTAGCTTAGCTACGGTATAGGCCGAAGAAATTTCTGTAAAGTTGTTTTGAAACAACTGGATAAAATGATTTGAACCAAAAACTTCAATTTCGATTCAAATTAGTAACTTTATATAATATTTATACTCTCGTTTATATATGCTCTCGTTTTCTGGACAAAAAGGTTACAGTTTTGGTTTGGAGTTTTACCAACAATTTTATGTTTCATTTAATTTGCAAAGTTTGAATCCAATTTCACCCCCTCAAACACCCTCAAGCCGGGTTAACACATTTGGGTTATATTTAAATAGGGAAACAAGCAGTTTGCTTTTTTCTTTCATCATTTCACCTTTTTTCCCTCTTAAATTTTGAACCAAATAAATTGGGTATATAAAATCGTTTGTTTCACTGAAACATTTATACTATAAAGAAGCAATCAACTTTTCATCCGTTCGTTTTTGTCCAAAGCTTACCAGGTTCGAGAAAAACGAAATCGAACAATTTGGTCAAATTCATTTAATCCATTTGATTCGCACTATGGCAGCTTGCTTAGCACAAATTGTACTAGAAATTCAAAAAACCGCGATGCGCAAACGAAACAAGGTTGTTGGAACGTTTTCTCAGAGTTTTGTGCAAATTTTGATAACTATTACAAAAATTAAGGCTTGAATATTCCATTTTTTGTGAAATTAGACAAGATTGTTAAAACATGTGTTTTGAAAAAACCCTGTATTCTGATAATCTCTGGTTTTGATTAAAATTACAAAACCCACCCAAAACACAGTTCTTCGCCAATTTTAGTAGTCGGAACAAATATTGCAGGAACAAAGTTATGTGACTTAAATTTTGTAACTACATTTCGTTTTTACTTCTTCACTAAACGACCATTGAAACTTATCACTCTTTTGCTATCGTTTTTTTTCGGGTATCCTTCTTAAAATTGTTGAAAAGAATTATACTTCTAGACAATATCAATTGGAGAATTTATTCGTGTTTACAAACGCAAAATTACTACTTTGAAGATTCGGAGCTTGTGTTTTAGGCAGAAGTTTAGTTAGATAAAAATTTATTTTTTCTTACCTGCGCTGTGGTCTGGTATTCTGGTGGTAAAAATCTTGCGTTAAATTTGTGCTTCAAAACTAATCAAACGAATTTTATGGCAGATTATCTCAGCTTTTAGCTCAAAATCCGACATTTTTCTAACAATGTAATCTGAAAAAAAGTCTAATCAAGCATCAACGAAAACAGTGATGTTTTTTTTTGTTTTCTTTTGTTTATTCCGGGCAACTAAATATATTTATGCGACATAGAATGAAAATATACTATTATATGTCATTTTTGATGCTTCAATAGTGTCAGGAAATTGATCCAGGTGTTTAATTGGAAAAAAAAACGCTTTTTGAACTGTTATTTTTATTTGGCTGTATTGGAAACAAGATGAAATTATTTCCATTGTTTCTAAATAATTTTAGACCCTTTTAGAAACTAATAATGCCCTCCTCCTTAGAGAAAAACGTTTCGCCCAGACTATAAAGTCTGCGGTTTATTAGTTTTCAATTAACTAAAATTCAATTTTCCCAAATTTTTGATTAAATTTTTCAAATATCAACTGAAAGAAATTTCTGTGAACTTTTATCTATTATATTAAAATTTGAAAAAAAAAATCAATCGATGGGCTTTCTAGCCAGAAGCATTCGAATTAGACAATAAATTTCTGAATCAATTATTGTAGTTTTCGTAACTTGTGGCGTCTTTTGACATATTCAGGTGATAATTTTAGCCCTCTGGTAAATTCTTCTTGTTTTTTCAATTATATTGATCTCATTAAACTTTGTTTTACAAAAGCAATTGCCATTTTTTAGCTGTTTGGCGCCAATAAAAAATTCCCACCAATTTCTCTATTCAACACAAAAGGACAAATCAAAGTCGATCAAAACGAATAAATAAGCATTAAAAGTAATTCAAAAAGTATTTCAAATTGATTTATTCAACCAACGTGCATGCTATGAAAAACTGCTTGAATGATTTTTTAAATTCCAGATGGCAAAAATTTTTCAGACTTCCATTATCAAAGTGATCTTAAGTCTTAAGTTGATGTTTCATTCAAAGCAAAAAAAAAAAGAGAAAAAAAGTTCCTTCTGATTTAAAATGATTTTTAATGGACTCAAAACTCAACAACTTGCAGCTAAATTGAATTAAAACTGCCAAAGACTATTTCAAATAACTTGATTTTTCAATGATGCTTTAAGCTCAAATTCACTACCGCTTTTATGTTCTGAGAAAATTGATGAAATTTGTCAAAATTTAATAGAAAATTGGCTATAAAAGCAGTTTTGTGCGGTCATCAAAATTCGATGAAAGCAAAAGTGATTAAAAATTTGTGTTTCTTACCTTCTTTTATTGGCGCCGGAGGGCGTTTGCATAAAACGGAACAAAAACAGTAAAAAATATTTTAATGGGACCAGCTTGTTAACTAAAAACTTCGATGTTGCACTAGTTTAATCGGATCTTTGTTAACTATTTCCCCCTTTTGCAATAGGGTGTGGGGATAGTGGATAGTTAACAAGGTACAAAATTTGTAAATGCATAATACTTCAATTCTTTCTTTAAAGGGGAGGGGGAGGGATAGATTCGGGAGGGTACCAGGGGGGGATAGTTAACAAGATCCGTTTATTCCTCAATTATTGAATGGAATTTCAGACTATTTAAATCAAAACTGAATAAAAATGGTTGCAAAATCGGCTGCAAAGTGAAATACTTTATATCGATTTTTGATTAAAGTGATTCGGGACTACAAATCTTCTTACTGTAAAACTTGATCCCTTAGGTAAAAAGATTTTCCATTTTCATTCATGTCAATCATGGTTTCAAAATACACAGAACTCAATCAAAGACTGTCAAACAAGTCTGCCTATAAACGTCAGTCCCACAAAATTGGTGAAATAATAACAAGTTTGTGAACAAGATTAATGAGAAAATACAATAATATTTTGATCACCAGGAAGGTACCAGACGGTGTTCTGCAAAGTATTGGGCCCTAATAAAGTTTAATAAAAAGGGAACATATGTTTTTTAGGGTTCAATGACTGAATTAATAATCAGTATGGCTGTCATAAAAGCCAGGAAACCCGAAATATTTGAAATAAAAGTTGCGCTTTGATTTCGTCAGATCGAAATTTCAGCGGATTTTTTTTTCAGCATTAAAGTATGAGTATTTTAGCACATTATGTTATGAAATGTCTGAAGAAAAAAGCTAAATAAAATAAGCAGAATACTCCCAAGAGCAAACATAAAAACTGGAGTATTTTTTTTTCAAAAACTGCTAAATATTGTAAAGACGATTAGTGGACACTTTTTAATACCGTCAATTGTGGCTGGTTACACAAATTTTTTTTGCACCAAAAAAAAGAAAAGCGGGTCGCAACTGTTTTCGTTAAAAAAAGCTCAAAGTGTTTTTTCGGCTTTTATTGATTTTGTGTAATCGGGTCATCAATTTTTATAAAATTTCGATTCAGTCAAAGTACCCGGGTTGACCACCATACACCAAATATGCTTATCATACAATTCCATACATCAAGTGTATAAAAAACTGCTTGTCATACAATTTTCATACAATTAAAAAAAAAACGGTTGAAAAAAGATAAAAAACTAATTTCTCAGGCTGTTTGATTCTAATGAATGTTTTTTTTTAAATAACCGATGTTTTTCTTAAATGTTTATCCTGCAATTCCCATATATTAAAATTGTATGACTACCTTTTTTTTGATGATGACACAAAAGTAACTATAAAATTGCCCCTAAAAGATTTTTTTGATCTTAACGCAAAATAAATTTTGTACACAGAAGACATTTTCATAAAAAAATTTTCTGCATACGAAATTTAATTTTTTTTTGTGCATAACATAGTCCTGGATATACAAAATTTGAACTTCTTGCCGTTTTTCTTGATAATTTTTTTCATAAACGCTCAAAACGCCTACTTATTTTGTATGGCATGTTAATGTATGCCTAGACCAATCCATGAATAATTAAAAATTCAACCTTTGAAAAATGTCATCTTTGAAAATAATTGCCAAAATTAAAAGGTTTGTTTGTTTCCTTGTATCATTTGTGAACGGCAGCCGTAAGTTAATTCAGGCCTTTTGTCGTTTTGTATGCATCGTGAATGCAAGATCGTTCAAGTTTTGCTGCTTTGAGTAAACCGAGATCTTTGTCACATGCATTCGGTTACGAACACAACGCAAAACTATTCAAATATTAAATTTAGAAAAAATATTCAATTTTTTCGTTGATGGAAAATTGCTTATCATTTACTTATCATACAATTTTCTTATATGGAAAAATTCTTATCATAGAGATTTCATACAATTTTCTCTACGTATGTATGGTATTGTATGGAAGTGTATGGTAAGAAGTTTTTCATATATAGAAATTGTATGATAGGAAGTTTTGGTCAACCCGAGTAATAACGCTATATAAACTTTTTTTTTTTAATTGAGCCATAATTAAAAAGAACAGATGTCAAATTTTGACGAGGCTTGCTGACAGTTTGGGGAGAATTATTTAGCTGAAATAGAAAAAAAAACGGTAACAAAAACAGGAAAAAAACAGTGTTAACTCTGTTTTTCAGAAAATTTGCTTTTTATTGGTAAACCGTTACTTTTTTCTAAAAACCATGTCAGAAAAAAAAATACACAAACAAGAAACCGAGGAAAAACATAAAAAGTGGATAAACTAAAAATCAAAAAAATGATTACTGCACAAGTATATAAATGTTACTAATTGCTAGAAATTTGAATAAAGAATGAAATGAGCTGAGTTTTAAAATAGGAAACCAAAAGTAATACATTTTCATAATATCTTTATAAACAAGAATTTTTAATTCTTAGAGGTTTTCTTTAAAAATATTTTTGGGTGAACCTCAAAATATGCGGGCAATTTAAAAATGAGCCAAAATTATTTCATCTTTACAAGCATCTACATAAGCAATCGCAATTTATCCAAACGATTGGTGGTTTTGAAACTGTTAAGCACAAAAAACTTTTATTTTCACGTTATATTTCAGTCTAAAGGAATGTTCTAGTCTTATCCGATGTTGATTTGTAAAACTATATCATACAACATGTATACTTTAATATCCGAGATTTGTTAAAAGTTTACTATCAACATTTCATCTTAAGTTGAAAACCTAATTTTATTTTTGGAACTGTCCCTCATTTGGCAGAAACAAGGACAATTTGATTCGAGTTAACTGTCTGCTTAGTTAAAGGAAAATTTAACTCTTGCTAGCTCAAAAATTATCCATTTTTTAAAATTGTTTCTGTGTTATCCAACTCTGTATTAGTTCTGTGCCACAATTTTGTTCCCAGAATTGGTTCTGAAACGTATTTGTTTTTGGACGCGGCCTAATTTCCAGATTTCGAGACAAATTTACTCTTTGGTTTTTCTGATGGATACCAATTGTCCTTGAAAGACTTAATTGATAATATAATTAACTAGTATCAGTTAAAAAGTGTACCATGATTGTTCCGTTGATAAGGAATTGAATTTACTGTGTCCGAGGAATGTGAAGAAAATTTAATCACAGAAAGGCATGGCGGAACACCTCGGTCAACCTGTAGCCAGCCGAAATGTTATAAAAAAGATGTTTGTAATTTTTAATTGTTCATTTTCAAGTTTTAGGGTCCACAGTAATTGCCATGAACTCAGTTATAATTTCATTACGAGGCCAAACTGTGCACTGGATAGGAGCCTAATTTTGTGTCTGTGTGTTCCTGGATTCCAGAGCCAATCTTTTAAACATGTTAAAATTTTGTCGGAGCGATCAAAGAAAATTGAAGAACAAAAGAAGAACCAAGGGAGCGTCCTTGTTGTGGAATCCGTTTACAACCACAAATTGCACAGTTTGGCCTCGTAAGGTTATCAGGAAAGAATAACGATTTTCTAAGATAGAAAACTGGTTTTTCTCTATTTTCTCTAGTCAATTCAGAAAAACTACAGTTTCGTCAAAATCTTCTGGAAAAGAAAAATATCCAGTTAAAAAAACAAGCACAAAATTTTGAAGGACTTCAATTCTGTTTTCTATAAAAAAAAACGATCGTTTTTTGCGCATAGTATGTTGGTCAAAACATCAAAAAAAACAATATTTTAAGATGGGGATCAGCATTCGAGCTCAACAAAGTTGAAAAGTTCCAAGAAAGAAATCAACAGATTATGAACCGAAAATTCATATATAGATTTTTGCCTTCTCTTGAAAAAAAAAATCCACGTTACATAAACTTTTTCGACAATTTTTTGCAATTTGTAAAAAAAAATTCCGAAAAATTTTGCACCTCTCAAAAAACCTTTGAATGGAATTATTCATACATAGTGTAATTAAAGAGCGAATGCATCGACTAAGTAATGTCGAACAAATTTTTTCTCTTCCTACAAAAATTGTCAGAAGATTGTCAAGTTTATTTTTGAAAAAAAAAAGTTTTTATCCTCACCTGGAAACCACGACACACGAAAGTCAAACTTTAAATTTCTGCTTCCTCCAATTGGTTGAAAGTGTTTCTCAAACACTTAATACAATCAATAAAATTAGGTAGAGTTTATAAGTTTTTATATTTAGTTGCCAAAAAAATGTTGAGCATGAGCGAGCCGGATTAAAAAAGCTTTTAGCTTCGAAATAGCAGCTCAGTTTATAGTAAATTATTCATGATGTTATTCATTTTGAATACAGCTTGGGGACCAATTTGAAGGCGACTTCGTTATTTATTATAATTTATGACTGACCCTGACTTTTGTAAATTTTGTTTATTTTAAGAAAAATTGATTGAGCGATAGTCTATACTAAATAAAAGCAGTTTTGAAGGTTACTTTATGAAGTCATTTT